CCTGCGATAGGCCGCTGGGAACGGCAACAGCTGTGTCACCGAGAAGGGCAAAGCCCTCGGGGGTAGAGACAAAGTTGGTCACAGATCACACCGGCTTTGCCCGAAGTTGTGGTTTTTTTTCTTTTTCTTTCCACCTTCTTTAGCGGGCGACATGGGGGCGGTGACCGCCGCTGTCGCGGGGGGCAGCCGGGGCGGCTCGGGGCGGAGGGAAGGGCTGTAGCTTCACCATGGTCCCTGCTGAGAACGCCGAGGGCCCCGGTCCGCTGAACCCCAAGGGGACCCCCGCCGAGACGGACGGCAGCGACGGAGCCCGCGGCCGCCGGCACCCGCCCTGGGCCAGAGGTAAAGCGAGGCCGACGGGCTGAACGCGCTCTCACTCGCGGGTGTGTGTGTGTGTGCGTGTGTGTGCACGTGAGCGTGTAGGTGCACGGAGAGAAGGGGACAGGGTCTGCTGGGACGAGTGACAAGGAGCTCTAATGTGAAGATTGAAGTCCCACAGATTGCTAAGCTGGGTCCCCTCGATTGTGCTGACCGTGTAACGTGCCAATGTTTTTTCATTTGGGAACAATTCACCGGCAACACAGTCACATATGTAAACACACACACACACACACACGCACCCACCCACCCACGCACGCACCTTTTCACTTGTCACAAATGGACAATCTGTAACAAGTGGACCTTATAACCACCATTTGTTAAATCAGTATTTTAAGTAGGATTCACGAAATTATTAGTTACATAATCAATGAACACACCTTTGCTTTTTTAAGTTCGCAGCATCTGTTTGTAAGGAACTGGAGCTTCATGCCACTGGGAGCCTAAAACCTCTGCTTCCGTGCTCCTGCTTTCTTTAAACGCGGCCCTCTGAACTGAGGCGTAATGCTTTTTCTCCTGGAGGTGGAATCTGCTGAAGTTTTCATTCATTTCCGTTGTCTCGGCTACACCGAAGCTTTTCTCCAGTCCCACACTTAGCAGCCCCACAGGCGCTCTGACACCTCGGCGGCCTCTGCCCTTTCATTCGGGTTCTTCTCAGAAGCACAGAGACAAACTCATGTGAAATGAAGCCGGGCACAGAGTACAGCCTCCTTCTATCCCTCCCTCAGCTCCTTCTGCTCCTCCTAAGTGCACGCACATCCCCAGGCCATGCCCTGGAATTTCATGGATGTCCCAAACCCGAAATGACAGGAGAGCGCTCGCCTTGGGTGGGTCTTTCGCACTGTGGGTGCGGGCTCCAGGGACCCATTCCACAGCCTCCCTCCTGGGGGCACAGAGCGGGGCCTCCTGGGGTCTGAGGAGCGGCCTTTCTCCCTGTCCTGCTCCTTGCTCAGCCTTCTGTTGATTTCCCACTTCCAGTCAAGAATGAGTAATACACGGGGCCATCTTTCAACATGGCCCAGCTCTCTCTTAAGCAGAGCTTTCTCCAAGTGTGTTCTCCGGCCCCTGAGGCTGAGAGCAGGCAAGGGAAACTCGTACTGGGGGGTGAAGGGAAAGAGTTACAAAGTTCTCTCTGAACTTCTGCAGGATGGAGCTGAAGGGCAAACTGAGGCAGTGACAGCCACAGAAAGGTGACCTCAAATAGTGTCAGTGATAATGACACAGAGATGAAAAGAAACTTTTTCCTGGAGGGGCCTCCACTGTAACAATTGAAAATTGACTATTTATTATTGATATGGCTTTGAAAGCATAGTGTACTCTGAATAGGTTAAGTCACACAAGTTCATAGTTATCCCCAGGGAAGGTAAGATGTGTATACATTTGCAAAAGTTGAATACATACGCAAAATATAAAGTGCAGCTGTTTGTGTTGTTGAAAAGAAGTGATAAGTGAATAGATACTATAATTTTTTTTTTTTAGTGAAACTTTATTATGTAGAAGGGGAAGCCTAAATGTTTCCGTAAAAGTTTAAATGAAATCAGCTTTGATTTATGGTACATATAGTTCGTATTTAGATGAAGCCAAACCTTTTATTATGACTTTTGTAATTTTTTCTAAGTTGTAAACATCTCTTGGTACCAAAGCTAATTATACATATACATATATATGTATATAATTAATGTGTAGTGTAGACTGACTCTGTAGTTTTGACAGGTTACTTAACCTCAGTTATTGGGATTATATTTTAGTATGTTTGATGAAAATGTTGAGGTTTAATGAAATAATATTTGACAAATACTCCTTTCGACTTCTTTATATTTTTAAATTTCCAAGTTTCATTCAGAGTATTTAAAATATGCTTAATAATTATCACACAATTCCTGCGTTGAAGGTAGCAAATTTTTCTCTAGTCCTGGATGGAACAATTAAAACACAAGGAGAAATGCGTTACACAGTCAGGACAAGGTAATTAAATCATTTGAGATACTGAAAAATGAAACAAAAGTCCTAAGCTCTGTGACTGCACCCCCTTAATGCTATTACACACAGCAAAAAGTGTTGACAGTTCTTCCTTGACCAACCTCTTTTAAGCTGGAAAGAATGCTTCGTTTCAATGACTAGAAGATAATGAATTTAAATTCATTTTCAAAAATCTATGACTCAAAATGGGTGCATTTTAAGTAAATTTTTCAGTGTTCATAGACGTGTTATAACTGACTTCATAGGGCAGGGTTGAGCTCAATTTGAAACCCTGGTGCCTAGAGCCAACAACAGATATAGGTGAATTGGGAAACCTCTGCATGGCCTTCTAGAGCATCTCACCTAAGCAGGACATGAGGCCAGAAGATGTGTGGTTGGCCCAAGTTCATGCAGTGGCTGGTGCAAAGCTGGCCCTGGCCATCTCTGGCCTACACCTAATGCCTGTTCCTTCATCTCAGTTGCTGGGTCCCCCAGGCTCTTTCAGTTTCATGATTCAAACACCTGGCTAGGGTGAAGATTTCCTTAAACCTCCCTTTGCCCCACCAGCACTGCTTTTTCTTCTTGGATCTTCCCTAAAGAGCAGAAACCAAGAACAATATTCATTGTATGAGTGCAGGTTCTCAGCACTGCAGGTCGAGCTGATCAGGCAGAGAGGGCTGCACTTCATGCTCCCTAAGGCTCTTCTAAATCCCAGATGCCACAGTCTGAGATTTAATAAATGCACACTTCCACTAATCAGATAAATACTCTAAGGAAATCTCAAATATTTTTAAGGCTGTGAACTTTTTACAAATGGAAGCTGAGTAGGTGGTCAGTACATAAAACAGGTAAGCATGGCCAGCTCTAGTGGAAAGAGGGGAGATGGAGAAAGGGGGGCCCTGTGTCCTGGCTCCCTACCTGCTCCCTCCCATTCCTCCTAGTCCTGAACAGGCAGGCTCCTGGTTGGGGATCACACTGAGCAAACCGCAAGCCCATCACTACTCTGGTTAGGCAGGCCATGGGTTTTTGGTTGGAGTATATTTACAGTGTTCTTACTGAGTATTGGACTCCCAGATTTAGCTTAACCTGGCCCCTTGAATTCAGTCAGGCCCAGCTTCCTTTCTCAAGCTTCCTTGGGCAGCCTGAGGGGAAGTCTACTTGTAGGAGACTTTGGGGAACACACTTATCCCCAGGGAAGAGAGAGTCAGGTCAACCAGCTTGATCTAATATCAAAGCTTCAATTATGAGAGGAGCAATTCTAACAACAGACTAGCCACTTTAGGAAGATCCAGGTCAGGGCCATTCCCAATTTTCCAGACTTTCCATATATTAAAAAGAGAAGTTACAAAAAGTCTAAACTTGAGGTTTTTCATTACTGTAAGGCCTGGGCAGATGGCTTCTTCAAGATCTAAGAAGCGAGAAAGCTCTAAATAAACATGGTAAGAACTGTTTCAGGACAAACTCTGGGTGGTGTTTGGTTCACCCAGATCCCTTTTTTTTTTTTTTTTTTTTTGAATGAGCAGCATTCATTTGTGTGGAATTAAACCCTTGAGTTTCCAAGGTCTCTTCTCCCTCTGTCCCTCCATGAAAGAAGTCCAGCTGTGTCATTAGCAGAGTAGGATGAAAGCCCTTGCCCAAAGTTCCTGTTCCATATTTACACAGTTCAATCCAGCATCAGGCTAGCTAAGCTTGTGTTCCCACCTGCAGTCCTTCAGTCCATTGCATGTGGGGTCTGCATGGCCCATGGCTTCTGGGATAAACTGCCACTGCCCACTGCTGTCCTGGTTGCAAACCTCACGGGGTCCCTTAAAGTTTAGGAGATGCATGCCCCCGGGGAAGGGGAAAGGTACGGGTGTGCTCTTGGGAGGGAAAGAGCACTGGCTCACCCAGATCTTAAAGAGCTCTTATTCCACTCTAAGATCATGTCACCAAGAAGGGCAGAGAGGCTGCCACTTGCCACAGACCACCTCTTGGCTGCCACGGCAGCAGCAGACACACATTCATGGGAACCTGTGGTGGCAGGTCCTGGCAAATATGGATGAAGGTAGGCCAAGGAGCCGCCAAGCAGTGCTGCTGACCTGGATTGACTGAAATTAGCTGGCAGGCACCAGGGAGCATGAGCTGGTTTTACAGTCAATGTCTACTCTGGTAGCTCAGTGCCCCTGTTCCAGTTGTTAATTATTTTAAACATTACTCTTCTCTCAGTAAGATTGTCAGCAGTAGTTGAGGCCTGGAGATCCCAGGAACAGGCCTGATGGTAGCTGATAGGACCCTAATATGAGCTCTCGAGACATGTTCTTTGTGAATTCTCAAGGGATTACTTTCTAGTGGTCTAGATCTTAGAGTAGGTGGTAAAAACAGAACTCAAAATACAATGAATCCACCCTGGAGCTGCCTAAGGAAATGTCAGTTTACAGGTATATATAAAAGATAAGTCAGCTGATTTAAAAATGTAATTTTTAATTGCTATAGCTGTGCAGGATTATATTTTTCATTCAAGAATAGTTAGCTCTTAAGCCTGGTTTTGTAGGTAACATTTTCTCAACAGGAGTAATTCAAGTACTATTTAGCCTCAGGCTTCAAAGAGTTCTGAGAGCGCCAAAACTCCCTCCATTAGAATGTAATTAACTTGGGCTTCTAAGAGCTGAAGCAGCTATTTTCTCAGATTTTATGAGCAAGAACTGGTTCTATAAGATTCTTAAATGGAGCTGAGTTCGGGCACCCTACTTCAGTTTTGTTTCTCATAAACAGTCTTCCACAAGAAGATGAGTTGTTGAATAAAATAAGGGAATGAAACAATGTAAAAGGACACCAAGTTATGGTCACGAGAAAGGAAAAGTTGGAATGGGCTTATTTGACCTATGGCAGCAGAAAAATAAATTTTCCTTTTACCTTTCTAAGTTCTGGCTTGACTAATAAATTAACATGAAACAGATTAACAGCAGAAAATGACTAAATTTATTACATATATACATACAGGAGCCCCACAAGAATATGAGACTGGA